TCAAGGGCGAAAGCCTTCTTCCCTTAATAAAGTGACTTAAAGTGACTATATAGTTCGCACAGGTGGTATTGATATTGAGGATGGTGAGCTGTTCGCAATATTCTTCCCAATATGACAACAGCTATAATTGCTGCAATAACACATACCCTAAAGCATACATGTCGCATACATAGAAGCATTTTTCAACCCCAGAGCGGCCAGATGGCGCCATTGGTAGGTAAAATTGTCCATGCCTACTTTTACAATGTTTCTGAGTGTGGATTCTCTAGGCCAATAGCAAAAATGTCTTACAGTGATGTCTTCCAGTTCACCAACACAATCGCTCAATATCCGGCGTGTCAAAAACACAGACCATAGGCTCCCTTCAACCGGTTGGCAAACACGGTCATGGATTGGCCACAGGCCCCGAGCAAACTCGTAAATGATCAGTTGAATGCGAATTTGGGTAATGCTCTTTGCTGGACGACTGAGAAGTTCAGTGAACAAAATACTTTTCATGTGCATCCCTAAATGCATATCAAATTGAATAGAATGGAGCCAAAGAACTTATTTTGCGAAAAGGATGGGAATTCGCCGTGGATCTGCGAAACCGTGTCTTCTACAAGCATCATCGATATCACTTTTTCAAAAAATTTGCATGTGGAGCTAATGGGAGAAACTAAAAAATTCAAACGGGCCAGAACCGGACCAGATTCCATCCAAACTTCTCCAAGAATTTGCAGTGAACACTATATATCCCTGTCAATGCTATATCTAACTTCCTTTGACTATGAAACGTTTCCCGCCGAATGGAAGTTGACTCATATAAGTTTCCCATACAACATCGGTAGCTGGGCATCGGTAACAATTAAGGAGCTCATGAATTTAAAATGCACCTCTGATAAGGTCATGGATAAGAGCATTAAGAGCGAATTGGTGCATTTCCTAGAGGCTCACAAGCTATTATCAAATTTCTTATAGAGATACGAAAAGGAATGTCCTTCACAGCCAAGTTGCCGCCATTTCTCCGCAGCTCGACCTACATTTCTGAGGATAGGGAGGCTGCTCAAAGGGTCTTCGACACTCTGCCACACCAGAGACTACTGTACAGAGTAGAACGACTAGGAGCCAGACCTTATTTCCTCAAATGGATCGATAACTTCCGTATGTGTCAGCGCCAGGCTATGCGCTGCGGTCGAGAGTGGAGCTCCCCAGGGTTCAGTGCTAGGACTCATCCTCTTCCCCGTATATGTGGACGACTGTTTCAGAAATTTGGACTGTAACACAACTATGTTTGCCGACATGAATATTTGGAATATAATTAACCGGGAATTGACGGGCAGATCAAGCTGAATTAGTTGGAGGAGTGGTCTAGTTGTTGGTGCTCGCGGTTCAGTGTCCATAAGGGCTAAATACTCCGCCTCGGCAACTTAGTGGATTTGGGAGAATTTTTGTAAGTGGCACATGTTGGATTCAGCTGTTTGTCAGTTGAGTTAACGCCATCCATAGGGTGAATCTTTCCTAATGGCAAGCTGCATAGACCTCTGACGGCAACAAAATGGGTTTAAACTATAGAATTTGGGAGATGTGGATCGAAAGTTAAAAAATAAGGTGGGTTCACTGGAATAGACGTATTCATATCCTGACTTTTCGGAGAGCTTGGTTGGTTCACTACCATTAAATCCTTAACTCCAATGCATCAAACGGAATCGAGAGTGCTATGTCATGACCCTTAGGGCTGATCATGTTTTTGTTTGATGACCCGACCTAGTGCTATCGTGACACATTTCTGTT